GCCCGGCTCTGTGGCGGCGGCGGGAAGGAGGCGGCTGCGGCCGGGCGGGCAGCGCCATGGAGCACATCCGCACCACCAAGGTACTGCTGGTGCTGCGGCACGGCAGAGGCGCGGCGGGGAGCTGGGGTCACTGTGCGGCCGCAGGGCCCGCCCAGCACGGCGCGGCCGCTGCGGGGGAGGGCGTTGTTGTTTTCCCTCCGTCCGTCCCTGCTGCTGTTTTGTGGCTGTGCCTCCCCGCGAGGGGCTCTGGAGCGGCCCGGGCCGCTGGAAGGGGTGGAGGGCTCCGGGCGTGCTGCTGCAGTGTGGCCTCGTGTCTGTGCTAAGGGGAAGACGCTAAAAATCCTGGTGTAGTGGTTTTTGTGGCGGAGTGGGGAACAGCAGAAGCGAGCTGGGAGGGGATTGCGGTTGTTTTGTGTGCTCTGGATATGGTTCCGTGCAGCTTTTCCTACTTCTGGAGGCAAATCTGTTGTGAAAACCACCGATTTGTTTTCTCCTTTTTGGCTATTGCAGTGTGTGTTGTTAAATACGCAGGCCGTCAGTGCCTGTGTAATGTGTTACGTTAAAGCTGTAGCTGATATTTTGGACTTCTATGGCTTTTATTTCCTATTATTAGTGTGTTAGTCTTCTTTGTATAATGAAGATGCAAAAGGACGGTGTCTCTTGTTGTGACTAATTTTGAAGTGAATTTTGAAGTCCCAGCTTTATAAAATTAAATTTCTAACAGTACTTTTCTCACCTTGCTCACCATCCCTGACTGCAAAGGTTGCTGAAAAGACTCCCCGTTTGTTGCGTCCTGGGAATTGTGATTAATTCCTGAACGTGGTAGTCTGACTTCAAAGTAGATTTATAGATATGTTTAGAAAAGGAGTGTTCGTAGTTCGTGTCCCAGTACTAGATTCACAGCCAGTAATTACATAAAGGAAAGAGCTTTTAAATTTTTTGCGTAATAACTTACATAACTTCAATATAAATGTGTATAGCTGCTTTTATTTTTCATATACATGTGTATATGTGGAACAGAAAGAAGATCTTTGATGAAACTACCGTTAGTGACACTTTTTTAGTCTGAAATTGGATGCACTTTATTAGTGTATCACACTGACAGGTTGGAGATAAAGTTTCTTTATCAGATGTTTATTTACAAACGTGAAAGTCCGTGTTTGGAAATTTAATATTGTATTGTTGCAGTCAGTAGCTGATTGCAAAAGGAAAGCTAGACTAAAGCCAATGAGTCTTGATGATCAGAGTATCTGTTTGAGTTTCAGACCTGAAATTGAGACTAAAAAGGGGGTAGGTTGATCACTTCTTTGCATCTGCAGGTGATTGTATTTCTCCATTGTGTTTTTGGGGCCCTCGTGGGGAAAAAAATACTTCATGTAACAGTATAACTGAAGAGAGAAATGAGCCCTGAACACAGTTTATATGATTTATTACTTTAAAGGATTATTTTTATAATTCATACCAAAAAAATTATATGTTCTGAAAAAACAGTGTCATGGTAAGAAATAGTGTGATATTTCTTTTGTTACAGCTGTGTTGCTTACTTAGCTTTTTGTAAGCTGTTGGTTTATGGAATATCCAGAGATTAAAATGCATATAGGCGAGCATTACAGGTGTAGGAAGCAAGAAAAGTAAAGTACAGCTTGCACTTTGGGACTTGAAGATTCACTCTCTGTGTAGGTTCAAGCTGGATCTCATGTCAGCTGTTCTGAGACACCCCTGCTTTTTCTAATCTGACAGCATTCCTGTTTTTTGAGTTTAGTTAAGTCATAGTGAAATAAACTTGAAATAACAGTGCAGTCTTGCATAAACTAACTGCTGTGCAGGGCAGCTGTTATCCCCAGGAGAAGGTGATGGAATAGGTTTTGTACTTCTTCCAACTTCAGTTTGCTGGGAATGTTGAAATTAAAATTTCTTTAGAACCGTCCACACAGTTACCTGAAATTGAGTGTAGCTTTTTGTAAAATTAAACTGTCCAACAGATTTTATGTTGAATAAGGACGTGAGATCAACTTAAAAATCACTTCTGAGAGTTTTATGCTTAAGTAGCAACAAATGATCAAACTCAGTTTATTAAATGTGGTGGTGAAGTAAAGAATAGGTTTTTCAATGAATCTTGATAGTATCCTTACGGATATTTTAAAGCAAAATGTGGTAGAAAAGACTGACCATTCTTCAGTCAAACCTGTTTGCATATTTGAAGTCAAATCTGTATTAGTGAAAATACCACTGGATTTTTTCTCCTGGAGATGAAAAGTTTTTCTTAGTTTGACTGCTAAATCAAATCAAACAGCAAAAGAAAAAAGTGTATCATGAGCTGAGTACCATTTAATCTGGTTTGAGTCAAGATAAATGAATGTGTCATCTATGGAGGCTGAATCTTACTCAGTTGTCTTTAAGAGAAGTTATCTATGACTTTCAGAATTCTTGTAGGTTTTACCTAGGTTAGTGGAAGTTGGAGCACTAATGCTTGTCCTCATCCATTGTAGGGAATGCAGCTTTGAGGAAAGCTGCCTTATTATGTGGAGGGGAAGGAAACCTCACATGCCAGGATTTTGTGGGTTGTGTTACTGGAGCAAAGCTGGGGCAGTTTTTGTGCACTTCCCAGTGCTGGGGAGGTGCAGTGCCAGGTACTGGAGCAATTATTGCTGCAGATCTGCCCAGTATGGATTCTGTGTTTTGGCTGTGGTGTATTCACTTATGCTACTGTAAACCTGAGGACTTGGTGGTTTCAGCATAATGTATTTTGGTGTACTGATGCTTCTAGTTTCCAGTTTTTTTGCTTTCTAAACTGAAATCTGGAATATTATCATAGTGCTGACTTATAGTATATATTTGTATTTCCTTCATTATGTTTTGTATTCATTAAGATGGGTTTTTTTAACTTTCAAAAGCAAAATTAGGCCTTTCTAGATCATAAGAAATACCTGATTTTTTTTCCTGTTTTTTTTTTTGTATGTGCTTTTTGTAGGTAAATGCATCTGTACATAGGAATTAAAAATGGCTTAACATCAGCATAGTAGATGTGGGTTCTCCTTGTCGCCTCCTCTGGGTGCTGGTCTTGCCAATGTGGAAGTTTTTGGAGTTCTGCCATGCATTTAATGGTAGCAGAGAGATGTAACTTGGCATTAATGAGACAGTGCTGCCAAGAAATAGAGGAATGCGTGGAGATAAGCCATTTGCCACACTCCTTTGCATGCAAAGAATCGTGTAATGCTTGTTTCAAATAGAGCACTCCATGAAGCCCACAGTTAGGAGGAGCAGATAAAAAGGCTATCTAGAAATAGTTTTTATTTTGGAATATTTTCCATAGGATTGAGATAACAATGTTGATGGAATACCCGAAGGAGTTGTTGGCCCTTGCAAAGCTCAAGCATGAATTATCTGCTTCAAATGCCAGCACAGTCCTTGAATTTCTGGGAGTTTTTTGTAATTATT